ATATTTTATCCCTTTTTTTTCTTTTATCTCAGATACATACGATTAATCATATTTATTGTCAATCAAATTAAATTTTTTTTTTGTTACTAAGCTGCTGAATACCAAAAACTTTGAAAAGCTTCAGTATAATTAATTATCAACAATTGCTAAAAACTTTGGAGAACAGAAGAAAAGAAAGTTGAGTTCACCGAACAAAGGAAACTGAAATGTTTACCGACTGCCAAATAGTTTGTGGGCAGTCAGTATCAGATTATTTCCAAGTTTTTACAACAAAAACCAAGAGCTTTTTTGCTGTTCTGTATCATTGATATCGTCATCGTCATTAATCTGCTGTTCGTCAACAACTTTTTCATTCGTTTATCGGTCTTTTAGAGTGTCAGTTAACTTTTTTTTCACCCATTTTTTTTATGTTCGTTGAAAAACTGCATCGATGTTTCAACTATCTGCTTGAATAAATCAGATATTCTTTCAACTTCCGGATTCTTAACATATGCTCGTCGGAAAAAGTGTTGATTCAGTTGTCCAAATTTTACTGCTTAAATATCCAAATGATTTTTTGCTTTTTGAGTACTTATTACTTCTTCTGTTATGTTAAGCAAAACGAAAACCTCAAAAAAAAAAAACTTATGATCATTAATTTTAAAAAATTTTCTGAGTATGCAAAACAAAAAAAAAAAAAGAAAAAAAAAGAATGGAAACAGGAATTTTAGATTAATTATTAAATTTATCATTTTTTTTTCTTTTGTTTTACATCGTTGAATTATTTTTGTATTTCCTTAAAATTGTAGTTCTTTAGTTTCTCTATTTCAGTTCTATATTTTTCTGCAATTCTTTCATAACTCTTAATTTTATTTTTTTTTTTTTGCTAATCAACTTCTGCATTTCAAATAGATCAGATTTTGCTCATAATTAATTCCTGTAAACTGTATAAGATTTCTTACCCAGTGAAAAAAATTTAACAAGAAACTCAGTTCTTCACTTTATTTTCTGTAATTATTATTCGTTCATTTATTTTTACTTCTATTCTGTATTTTTTTACCACTGAATAGAACAGCCTCTGTTTTGGTATATATTCTTTGAGCAAAAAAACTTGATACTACTGTAGTCGATTCAGCACTCCGATACACCATCTACTGCTCTCACCAATTTTGAACCAAATTTTTTTTCTCAACTTTTTATACAAAGTCTAGACTTGTTAGGTTTGTTGGTCAGATCTAATAAAAATAAAGTAAGACACAAAAATACCTCCTTTTCAACACAAAATGTTTATTTCAAGACGAATGGATACAAGTTCCTTAGATTATTTGTGACAAACTGCCATTAAAAACTTGGTAGAAATTCGGTCAATATTTTAATTTATATTTGAAAAGTTTCTACTTTTTTCAGAATTTTTTTTTGATATTTTTAGTTTTTCTTTAAAAACCGGTAAAAATTAATGAGTGGAAAAAATATTAAGAAGTCTTGTCAACGAAGTCATAATTTGAGAAAAATTTTAAAATATTCTGGAACTTAATGAGCTAGCATCAGCTTTGGCTGTCAACTGTGCTAAAGTGTTGTAATTAGAATAAGACTGGAAGTTTATATGATTCTGTTCTGATTCTTTAAGATCGCCAAAGAGCAAAGAATGATGCAGCTGAGAGTTTTGAAAAAATATTTAAAAGAGAAACAAATTTTTGGCTTTAATTACTGTAGCAGAAAGAATTTTATTGATAGCTGATAAATTCTGTATATTACATAGCTAAAATTATATTCTATTTTGTTCCTTTTTTTTAATTTACTGTTTTCTTTTTGCTTTTTCTTTTGTTGATTGAACAGATAAAAAGCTAAAGAAAAAAGAAATGATAGCAAAAAACTCTTCTATCTTTTATTACATACTGATAGTTTTATATCTTTTTACATACGCAAATTTTCTTTTTAACAATTTAGCAGTTTTAGTTGAAATAAATCTAGCAAGGAAAAAAAACAAATTACAGAAAGTTGTAAACTGATATATGGAATAAAAAAGTTTTATTTTTTTTTTGTCTTTTTTGTAGTTGTTGTTTTTTTTTTTATGTCTGTTTAATTTTTCGCTTTATTTCCCATAAATTATTTTGCTTTTTGTTCTTTGATTAAGCATACAGCAAATAAACTTGAAATGGAAGTAGAATTTACCATTTCTAATTGTAGTGCTTTTTTTTTTTTGTTGAATATACAGACAAAATGTTGAAGGTGTTGATAAAAAAAAATTTTAGTTGATATTGAGTAGAGATTAGCAGCAAAATGAAGAAGAATAAGAAGGAACAGAAAACAGAATTTTAAGATTAATGCTGTCAGCTGTGTTTCTATACTTGTTTTTCTGTGTTTATTTATGTGATACCTTCAGTGGGCTTTTTTTCACACCATCGTTCTCCATTTTCTGTATTTGTTCGACGCCTTATTTTTTCTATTTTAAATAAGAAAAAAATCTGTTTCTTTTTTTTTTTTTTTTTTTT